TTGGACAAGGGTACGGCCATTTCAAGAGGTTTATGTAGTTGGGGATGTTAACAGCTGAATACACTAGAAGAAAGAATGAGGAAAACTCTTGAGACCAAACTTGTCAGTAACAAGTTTGTTACTCTCATAGTCTCTTTGGCCCTGACCTGCTTGCCCAAGATTTGTGACCAAAGGTGTGTGAGAATGGCTAGACTTGAGGGCAAAGCAGAGCCGATGTTTGCCCAATGGCAGGTGACTCTAATACTTGCTGAGAATCTGTCTTTGAAATTTTCTGAAAAAGAAGAAAAGTAAGACTGTAAATTATCTAGTTCCCAAAGCAAAAAATATATCCATGTAAGGGTATAAAATTAAAGTGATTAAAAAATGCCCTTGAGATTGTTCTTGGCCCAAAGCCTGATGTGAGTGGACATTGGGTTTGCTGTGGCAGACTCTGAGTTGTGATTTTGTTCATCATTTCAATAGCAGTATAAGGGTTTTTAAATAAAGTCCTCCGTTCATCTGATCCAGTCCAGTAGAAAGAAGAGTGCTTGGCAAGTGATGCTTTGGTAACTTACATAAACACAGCGTGTGGGCCTGAGGTGTGCGAGAAGACCGGTCGAAAGCTGAGGCTTCCCTCATGTCTGAAAGCGTAGATGAAAAATATAATCGCTGTATCTTTGGCAAGTTTACTTGATTTCTTGTTCATTTGATTTCTAACTTAACATGCTTCTCAAACATATCTAGCCTCTTTAAATTCATTTTTAAGGTTGTTCTGGTTAGGTAGACGTTTGTACATAGACTGGATGAGAGCCCTTTTGACTTAGTGTGAAACTGTAGCATTTTATGCTTTTAAAATGAATAGTTACTGTCCGTGACAATCAATTGACTGTCCTTAGCAGGTGGAAAATTACATGCATTGTATCCATCTTATTCTATGTACCATCTGGGTAAGGGGCATGCTCCCTTTGGGGCGTTTTCACCAGCGAGGGCGTCCCTCCAACAGCCAGCGGCACTCAGTGTCAGTTTAAGAACCCACCAGACCTCGTCATCTTAGATGCTCTTGTAACTACATAGTTGCATGTTAGATCCACATTTATAATTTTTTCTGGCCTCATGTAGTTGGGTTTTTGCATATAATTCTTTGGCATATATGTTGAAACATGCTAACCATTCAGGCATGTTGGTATCTTCAAGAAATGACTAGGGTGGGGGTGGGAGTGGCCTGGCCCAGCAGGAGGGCGTTTGCTTAGCTGCAGATACTAACTGAAGCGACTGTAGGAGTTTTGTTACTGTGTTCAAGTCTGCGACAGGCAGAGCACAGTCTGTTGCCTGCTGCCGGCCAGCCTTGGCCCGCCACAGCCCATTCTCTACGGGATGGCCACTGCCGAGGACACAGTTTGGACAAAGTTGGGTTGTTAGGACATTTCAGAAACTCATTTTACCTGTGATGAGAACTGGCCTTGAATCTGGAGCAGCAGCCGCATGGTTCTCGCTGGCACCTTCTGGGGCTGTTGGACTACACAGAAGCTGCCGAGGTCAGAAGGTGGGTGTGAGCACAGCGATGCTGTGTGAACTGGAGATTTGTGTGTTCTCAACAACTCAGACCTAGCCCTAGGATTTAGGGGCAGCTAGGAAAGTTCTAGTCTGTGTCATCTAGAAGGGTCACTTTAGTAAAAGTTATGAATTGTAGTATTTTAGGTGTTGAATTACTAATTTAAAAATTATTTTAATTCCACTCCATTATTTCACTGTGATGCCTGCTTGGAAGACCTGTTCGAGATTAGTCTTTGATTTTAAGCTCATTAAATCTGCTGAGCACAGGATTCTTATCATTTGTAAATCCAAAATACTATGTGAAAGTACTTCTAGTTATCTATTTCTTCCTTTACAAAAGAGTAACTTAAACATGAAAATATGTTGGTTTATAGAAATATTTATTGTTCAAGGTCTGTAACTGTATTTCAAAAATGATGTAGTTTTCAACTTGTGAAGGGATTTGTTTTGTCAAAAAATTAAAAATTCACTATGTATAACATCATCTGAGGCGTAGGGGACTGCTTTCCAGTCACAGCAAGGAGCACCTGCCTGGGATTTGCATAAGTCACCCTAAATGGTTACATCGTTTCTAGAAGTTGGTTCAAATGTGTTCACTAGGTTACATTATGTTCATTAATATCATCTTGAAAAATCCCTGTAATATATATGAAGGAGATTGCATTCCCTGCCCATAAAATAATGTATTTCTAAGGCAAACAGGCAATTTGATACTATCGATACTGAGTAGAGAGTAGAAAAAGTATTTTCAGACTCAAGAAAACTTTGAAAAGTCAGGAACTAAGCTGCTTGGAAATCAGTGCTGCAAGCGTGGCTTTGTTGGATTCGGGAAGCAACGGGAAAGTTCTTGACAGAGTCTGTGTCCGTTCAGTTACTACATTTTTCTTTTTCCAAATGCATCCTATTGGATATGGAGTAGACCGTAGATGTCGTAGACTGAGATTTGGGACTGTGTTGGGACTGTACAGGTGAATGTGTCACTTTCACACACGGCATCTCCGAGTAAGTACCGTCACCTGGTGCACATGGAGGTGGAGCCTGCAGCTGGAGTAAGGCGTGCTGGTGTGGTGCCCTGCCTACTTTGCTCTTCTTGCAAAACCACTCCGCTTGGGTGGTTTGCCCAGCGGAGAGCCGTTGGATCCCCCCGACTGTGTGCTAGTTGTCTGTCAGTTGCTGGGAAGGGGTTTGGTGGGGTGAAAGTCGGAATCTCCTGCAATCTGTGTCATGGACTGTAATATTGTAAGGTCTGTATTCTGTATGTGTATCTTAGACCCCAATCAGGAAACGAGCCTCATGTGTGTCTTTAACATTTATATTTCCATTCAAAATATGTATTCAGTGTTTATTTCCTCAAAATAGACTTTGTTAATTTAGGAAATATCTCCAAGTGGAAACGTGCTAACTTTTCTGTAAATCTTAAATAAAAGGTGCTGTTCCTTCCTTTGACCCAGGACTGGTCTGTGTTTTCTGTCTTTCTCTCCATGCATTTTCTCCCTTTTTTTTTTTTAGCTTTAAAATTTGTTCCAGCCACGCTGAAGGAAGAACATGGGTTGGTGGGCAGGACACTGGGCTCTCTCCCCTTGAGCCCGTGATGAGGGCTCTCTTTGGGCTTCGGTTCCTCCTCAGATGGTCGGCCTTGGGCAGCCATGTGGGTTACTCTCTGAGTGGGGCCAGGGCCCGGGCGTGCAGCTGGTCTTCCGGATGCCCCGGGCTCCCCTGGCGCCCACTGCAGTCATGCCTCCAAGTCTTCAGCTCCATTTGTGACCCCTTCTCTGATGGACATGTTAAATTTGGGGTTTGAACTCAGAGCATTTTTTCAAGTTGCCTTCTTTCTGGATGTAAATGTTAAAGTAGCAGGAGGCGAGCTGATAGGGAGGGGCTGTGGACCACGGTGGCTCCATCTGGGCAGCCTCATAGTAACAAAACCTTACAATGTGAGACCCCTGTAATTTAGTGTTCATTCACACTGTTTCCATCTTCCCGGCAAAGGTGAGGAAATCAGGTTTAAAAGGCTGCTTTCTCTTGATACTGTGTTGTGGGATGTGTCACACATAGAGTAGTGAAGCTGGAACAGTGGGCCCACACACCTGTCACCCTGCCACAGACTCCAGTCAGAGCCAACAAATCACTCAAAAGAAGTCAACCCTCTGAAACCAATTTTAAGTGAGCAAAACACCCTGTGTTTATTGGGTTTTTTCCTTCTACTTCCTGTAATTTCAGTGAGCTAAATCTGGAAAAAGCTTGTTGATAAGGCTACAGAATTGGGTGGATTGCCTGGTGGGGTTTGGTTTTTGTTTTTGTTTTTTTTAAATGTGGCCCAATTTCAGTTTCTAGCTTTGTGTTCGCTGGCAAATAGCAAGCTTATAACATGATTACTTGTGATTATTGAGGTGTACAGGAAATGTAGTTTATACTTTTGCTCTGTTGAAAAATTTTCAACATTTATTTACCTAACATCAGATAAATACTAAATGTGTTTTTAGTATTTTTTTTGAAAAACATCTGAATTTGATATACAAGGAAGATTTCTAATTAAAGATTTATTGATTTCTATTTAAAGATTGATTATTGCTGGTCAAGTAAAGGGAAAATGCTGTGTACAACGATGAGGCAGAGCTTTTAGCCCAGTCTTAATGATCTCTGATGAATGAAGGCGAGATGGATGAAATACGATCTGTGAGTCATTTCATTTGCTCACAGATTCCCTGTCTTTCTCCCAGGCCTTTTGCTTAGCCTCACGTTTAAAAGAGTCGTCTCATTTGACCTTGCCTTCTCCCACCTTACCCCTCTGGTGGGGAAAATAGGCGATGGGAGGACCAGGAGAAAGGATGGTCAGTTAGTTACAGGTGCGACGACAAGTCTGGAAAACTGTTTCCTGACCTTTGGGTGAGCACTCTTGTATATGCACCTGCTTCTGAAATTGTTCAGTCTCTACCACAGCAGAAGTGAGTTGAGCAAGATGAGGTGTAAAGGCTTACGTTTTGACATCGCACTTTGGTTCTTTCAAAAATTCATTTGGTATTAACATGTTTCTCTTACCTTAAAATAGTTGGACCTTAACAGATCGGGTAAGAAAGGTCAAGATTCTTGGTCCCAAAGCCTGTCTTAGGTCACCTGTTAGAGCAAATTGGGTTTTCATAAGTTACTTCATTTTTAAGGAATATTAAGAGAACGTTAAATCTTATGCCTCTTATATACATATATAGACTAAATACTAAGCAGAATAAAGTCCAGTTTTGAATTTCTGCACAGCTTATTGACAAGTTGTATTGTCACAAAAACCAGTTGATGTACATTTGCAATAAATAACTGGCACTACTCGGCGAGTGTTCAGAAAACGTGTGCGCGCGCGCGCGTGTGTGTGTGTGTGTGTGTGTGTGAGTGGGGGGGTGGCGTGTCTCTGAAGTCATGTGACCACCGCTGCTCTCTGCGACTAGTGAACTGTCGTCCACCTCCTTCATCTCTAGGTATCAGATGGCCAGGGAGACGAGCCCTTGGAGTCCCCATATGAAAGTGCAGACGAAACGCAAACTGAAGTGTCCGTCTCGTCTAAAAAGTCTGAAAGAGGAGTAACTGCCAAGAAGGAGTACGTGTGTCAGGTGAGGAGTATGTGTGTCAAGAGAAGAGTACGCATGTCAGGTGAGGGGTAGGTGTGTCAAGTGAGGGAAGGAGCCATTTGATCCATCGTTTACAGTACTCACCTGGGTCCCAGTAGATAGGAGTGAGTCTTGATGCATTTTCTCTTCCCTGCAAACCCCCTCTGCCCCCAACCCCATCATCACTCACTAATTTTTGTTTTGAAGGTGTTAAGCTGCCAGCTGTATCCTGGGGTTAAGTGCCCCAGTAGCATCATCCATTCATGTGTAGGATCTCATGTATAAATTATATATAACATACACACAGATGTGCATATATAGTTTTTGAAGTGTGTAAAAACTGTGTATGGGCCAGCCCTGGTGGCCTAGTGGTTAAGTTCTTTGCACTCTGCTTTGGCAGCCTGGGTTCAGTTCCTGGGCATGGACCTATACCGCTCTGTTAGCCTCCATGTTGTTCTGATGTCCCACATACTAAAAAGTAGAGAAAGATTGGCATGGATGTTAGTTCAGGGCAAATCTTTCTCAGCAATAAAAACTCCCACAAAAAACGTTGTGTGGTTGGAAGAGGCCGGTGCTGTGATGATGTTTCACTGCCGGCATGCACACCAGGTAGGCAGGCTGGGCCCACTGGAGAGGCCCGGGTCAGTGTCCCTCTGCCACAGTGACCTGGGGCTGGTCACTTAGCTTCTCTGCGCCCCAGCCCCTCTGTGGGATGGAGATGAACTCATAGCTGCCAGAGGCTGTGGGGAAGCCCCCTCTGTCAATACATGAGAAATGCTGGTCAGCTCTGTACCTCTCAACTGCGTTAGGATGAGTTTGATTTCTGATGAAAATGTGCATGAGTTCTCTTGATTTTCAAATCTGATTTTAATCCTCTTGAGTGTGTCCTTTAGCATTTTGATCCTGTTTGTTTCCTTTGCTGTTGCTGAGGGATATCTTTCTGTATCCTGTCGCCGGGTTTTAATCTGATACCGGATGTGTTGTGGGTTCTGCTCAGGCCAGCTTCTCACATGCATGTTTAACTCTTCCTCTGAGTAGCACAGGGGTGTAGAGGGGCTGTGCTGGGTGTTGCTTCACTGCTGTCCCCTCTCCGCCCACAGCTGTGTGAGAAGACCGGCAGCCTCGTGCTCTGCGAAGGCCCCTGTTGCGGAGCTTTCCACCTTGCTTGCCTTGGGCTTTCCCGGAGACCAGAAGGGAGGTTCACCTGCAGCGAGTGTGCTTCAGGCAAGTTTTGTTGTAGCTTTTAATTCATGCGAGGCTTGTTCCCAAGGACAGATAGTTCTGTGACGTCCCCTCCAGCCTCGGAGTCTCCCTCCTAGGCTCCCTTCACAAAGAGTGCTCTGGTCCGCCTTTACAGGTGCATCCTGACGCATTTATTTCCTTTGGAGACCTGACACCAGCAGACAACAAGTCACTGCCCACCCCCTCACTGCCTGTCTCTGTGCTTAACCTCCCATGGGTGCTTGCAGCCCTGCCCCGGCAGACATGCTCACCCCTTCTTGGCCCCCACGGTTTGCTCTCTGATTTCAATTTTATGCCCTCCCCTTGGTACCTTCCATCAGGTGGTCAGTGTTATTACCTTAATGAAGAAGTGTCATTCAGAGTTTAGTTCAGCATAAGGGGATGGGAGAGTGGTGAGATCATAGGCCACAGGTTCTGCCATGCCCCTTCCCGTGGGCAGTGTGAGCCTTGCTCTGTCTGTGGGGTGGCTGTCATGGGGTGCCCTGGCACCAGAGGTTCCAGCATTATCAGTACAGGTAACCTAGTTGGTCACAGAACCCCGAAGTTCACAAGAATGTGGAGTCTTTGTGGAGATGCAGTGTGAATCTGAGCTTCAGTGTTAGCAGAAAGAATGGCTCCGTGCTTGTCCCTGCGTGATCATTGCTTTTGTTCTGCCATACTGGGTTTCAGCAGAACAGTCTGGGGGATAATGGGAAGACAGGCTGCACAGCTGTGGTCACTGTCTACCTCCTATCCACTGGCCGGGCCTGAGGGTCTCCTGGCTCTCCTCGGAAAATGTCCTGGGTCAGGAAGATACCTGGAGTTCCCCTAAGTCAAGACCATTCAACACAACACCACCTGACTTCTGCGGGCACCTGCCTGCCTATAATTTTAAGTGATTCTTCATTGTAGTTGGCTAACTGATCTCAAGAGTGAGAGTTAAAACCTTTCTTTAAAGGAGTCCCTTCCTTCAAGCTTCTTGTTGAGTGGGTGTCCCCACTTAGGCTGCCTAGAGAGACTTTCCTGTCTTCCAGGTGAAGCTGGAGCTCAGATCGCAGCCAGGTAACCCTCGAGGGCTGGATTATTTCTGAAGCATGCTTGGACTAGTCAGTAAGGTTGGAAATATGGCCAGATGCTTTAGCAACACAGGCTACCTCCCACAGAGAGGCGCTTGATCCAAGTGGCCTAGGATCTACAATTTATTTTTTGTTCTTTGCATTTCTCTCTCTGCCCATCTTTCACCGTTTGTTAGGGATTCACACGTGTTTCGTGTGTAAGGAGAACAAGACAGATGTTAAGCGCTGTGTCGTATCTCAGTGTGGAAAATTTTACCATGAAGCTTGTGTGAGAAAATACCCTCTGACTGTGTTTGAAAGTCGAGGCTTTCGCTGCCCTCTCCACAGCTGTGTGAGCTGCCATGCTTCGAACCCTTCAAACCCAAGACCGTCGAAAGGTACAGATGCACCTTTAGAGCTTCAGTGTTGGTTCACTATGGTCACATAGGTGCATGGAAGGTGGGCAGGGTGGCTATTGGGCTTGTCACCAAGGATGTTTAGTTTTTATTTGGAATAACAGTTGTTTTTCTGTTACTGACTCCACACAGGTTGGGTTAGGGTTTTTCTTAACAAAGGGCCTGCCCCCCACCATTCTCCCTTCTTCCTGCCCTGTTATTTTAAAGACTCTTAATTTTAGGACAGAGGACCTTTGAACCATTTTGATAGATTCTGTTTGTTCTGGTTTTAGTGGTCTTTCATATATGAAAAAAGTATTTTAAAAGCAAATCATATCTGCACTATTTCGTGTTTTTAGCTGTGAGGATGGGAGGTTATCTCTACTTCTTGACACTAGTGACTCTCAACCAGGGGCAAGTTTGCCCTCCAGGGGACATTTGGCCACGTCTGGGGATGTTTTCGGGGCATCTACTGGATAGAGACCAGGGATGCTGCTAAACATGCTCCAGTGCACAGGGTGGTCCCCCATGGGCCTCACATGCCATGGTGTCCAGGCTGAGCAACCCTAGTCGACCTTGTTTAAGAATATGGCATTTTAAATGCTTGACCCTTTTCCCTAACGTGGTTTTGAAGGACCTTTGCCTTGAGGAAATGTGTTTTCATGACGTCTATTAAATATTCTTACCTTCCCCATCCTAGTTCTTTTCTTTGTCAAATACGTCATTTATTTCAGCATTAGCTTTCTAAATTCATGGAGGTGTGGTTGTTTCTGGTTGCCCTGTTCACTGTGTTGGGGTCTCCAGCGTATGTCTCTTTGCCTTCAGGTAAAATGATGCGCTGTGTTCGCTGCCCCGTTGCCTATCATGGAGGGGACGCTTGTCTGGCAGCAGGCTGCTCGGTGATCGCTTCCAACAGCATAATCTGCACGGGCCACTTCACTGCTCGGAAGGGGAAAAGGCATCATGCTCACGTCAATGTGAGCTGGTGCTTTGTGTGCTCCAAAGGTGAGGGCGGGACGGCAAGTTTGCGCACCAAACGTTGCCACCTGGTGTTCGAAATTGTCATTCCGTTGGATCATTTGAATGGTTCAAGGGTGCTGCTTCTCACGGCTTCTCTACATACACAGCTCTTCTGGACATTCTCAAGAGCCATGTGTGGGGGGCGAGCTCTGTGCTTAGCCAGCTGTGTGTATTGATATTCATAATCTTTCCTGTGTTTTCACATGTATTATTATAACATATTTCCAAATTAACCATCATAATTTCAGACTTATGGGAAATTATTTGTGGTGAAATATAAAATTTGCTTTTGTGTTTATATACAGATTACTGTTTTTAAACTAACATCTAAGAGATGTGTAGTATCTGTAGATTGTGAAGAGGCAAATCTGGGCTGAGCCATATGAGACAAACCTAAGCTGGCCCGCCCTCCTTTGCAGGGGGAAGCCTTCTGTGCTGCGAGTCCTGCCCAGCAGCCTTCCACCCTGACTGCCTGAACATCGAGATGCCCGACGGCAGCTGGTTCTGCAATGACTGCAGGGCCGGCAAGAAGCTCCACTTCCAAGATATTATTTGGGTTAAACTTGGGAACTACAGGTGTGATACATAGAATCCTCTGCTTTTATGTCTTTCCTTGTTCAAATGTGTTCGTTTTACTTTACAGTGCTTAAAGTGTTGAAATTATTGTCACTCTCTCTGAAGAGTCTGTGAATCCTGTTTTTAATATTTATAATAGATGGTGGCCGGCAGAAGTTTGCCATCCCAAAAATGTTCCCCCAAATATTCAGAAAATGAAGCACGAGATTGGAGAATTCCCTGTGTTTTTCTTTGGGTCTAAAGATTATTACTGGACACATCAGGCGCGAGTGTTCCCGTACATGGAGGGGGACCGGGGCAGCCGCTACCAGGGGGTCAGAGGGATCGGAAGAGTCTTCAAAAACGGTACGGAGATTTCCAGGGAGTGAAACACTGATCTCGGGTGCTTTTTCCTAATCCTAATTTCTGCTTTTTGAAAGTTTGATTTCTGTAGAAAACACTAGACTAAGCATTCTAGCTGTACTTTAAATTAGAAAAAAGTAGGATTGCAAACTGATTGTTGAGGCATAGGATAACATACACTGTTTAATAACTTTTGTAACATTGGCTTCTGATTAATTTCACTAAAATGCATTAAAGTTATTTTTGAGAAATTATTTTAGTACTAATTTGCAGAAATTCCTTATAGCTTGCTTTTCCGTAAGATGGAGAGTGGAGGAACTTTCCTGCAGTCTAGACCTTACGCTCCTGCTTGCAGTGGCTCACAAGCAGACACTGCGACCTGTCAGCAGACACTGGGCATCAGGGGCTTCATAAGGTGCCAGGTGTGGGCAGGTAGACAGGATGCCCTGCCCCCGATTCCACAGCTGGGGTGGGAGACAGCAATGACCATGCAGTGTTGTTCAAGTGACAAGACAGGATGGGAATGCGGCCACTTGACTGGAGGAAGTGGTGTTTACACTGGGCTGGGAGTGAGTGAGGACAGCAGGGGAAGATCGCAGCGTGTGCACACAGCTGGTTCAGGGAGAGCCAGGAACATGTCGTGGTCGGTGGTGCCGAGGAGGCTTGATGAGCTGCAAAGAGGGTGCAGGCTGCACTGAGCAGTGGGAGCCTTCTCCTCTCCTTCAGATCCTCAGCACACAGTAGGCATTCAGAGGTCTGAATGAGAATGGGTAGGCATCAGAAGATTTTCAAAAATTGTATTAAGAGAGATGTTGAAATTGAGTGGTAGCTGAATGTGTTCAGTGTTAAGTCAGCTGGTAAGTGGTAAAGTCAAGATTTCACGATCTCCTGACTCTTCATGCAGGAGTCCTGTGGAACTAGACCTATTAAGTGACCTGACTGGTGACTGCCTGACACAAGGCAAGCCCCCAGCACACCCAGAGCTGAGGTGGGGCTGTCTTCCCTGGGCACATCTTAGTAGCTCATGGTTCCTCTGTTCTTGCTTCAGCCTGTTGCTTACTCCTCAGAGCCCTTTTTCTCCTTGAGAGGAACAAAATTGCATTTTTGTTTTCTGTCTTCAGACAGTGAGTCCTAAGTACTAATACCTGGTACTTTGTCATTAGATCACAGCAGAGGGTGGTGAGCTGTAGAACGGAAACCTGCCCCTGGGGGCCCTTCCTTGTAGTGAGGTGGCGCAAAGCACCACCCAGGGTTCTTAAGCCAGTGGCGTCCTCCAAGCACTCTTCTGCTTAAAACATTTTGCAACATTTAAAAACTCCTGCCCTTTTAAAGTTTTCCATAATCTCTAGTTTTATGGAAACTGGAAACTACACTTAGCAGTGAAATGAAAGCTTTGAGCAAACCATTAAAATACAGAGCTTAAAGGGTAGGTGTATTTACATACTGAAATCTTTTACTCCTATTTCATTGACTCTTTAGCGCTACAAGAAGCCGAAGCTCGTTTTCGTGAAATCAAACTCCAAAGGGAAGCCAGAGAGACACAGGAGAATGAGCGCAAGCCCCCGCCCTACAAGCATATTAAGGTGACGTCAGAGCAGCAGGCTCTGGGAGGCTGCTCAGAGGGCCATGTCCGTGCGCATGCAGATTAAGTAATTGCTGAGGGGGTTGTAAGTGGTTCTCAGGCATGCAGACTCTTCATTCCCAGGCTGTGGCGGGTGAGAGGGTCATCATGAGCGAGCTGTCTGTAGCCGCAGGGTGGACAGTGGCATGAGAAGTCATAGGCAGATAGCAGATGCTGTCGCCATCAAGCGTGTGTCCTTTTACACGAGGGTAACTGGGTACAGGGCAGAGGGTTTCTGCATGGGAGGTCTCGGTTTTGCTTTAGAGTATGAGGCTCAGCCTGATAGCCAGCATGAGGCTGGAAGGACAGGGGGTCCAGGCTGCCTGGAGCAGGAGGGGCTGAGGGACCAGCTGAAGTCCTGGACCATGCCATCACCAAGCACTGCAGACAAGCTCAGATGAGAGGTGGTCATCCTGGGCCAGTGCTCAGCCGAATCGTGGCTTGTTCAGCTGGAGCCCCTGAGATAAAATGATCTTCCTGCCTCAGAGGGTGTGGAGAGCAAGGAAGGCCTGGGGGTGTTCCTGAATATAGTCCCTGTGTTTACTCCAGTGACCCCAGGAGCCCCAGCAGGAAGCTGGTGTCCACACGTCTCCACAGTGTGGGAGGAAGCGTAGCCAGGGCATGGCTCTGAGATAGAGCAGTGCCCTCCTCACAGCTGTTTGCACTCGGTGAGCTGGTGCCACCTATATCCTATTGTCCAGGGCCTGGCTGCCTCTTAACACACGTGTGCTGGTCATCTTCTTGCTGGTCAAGGGCTCAGTCTTGCTCCTAAAATCTGGGCTGTAATCAATATCTTTGTTTGTAAAGGATGCATTCTCTACACCAATCTGCATTTAGAATTATCTTTGGGATAAGGTCCCAGAAACAGAATACTGGGTCAAAGAGCATGAAACTTTTAGATTGTTGAGGTCAATTTCCAGATTGTTTTCCAAAGTGTTGCATAGTTTGTCACACCACAGCAGTGAAAAGGGTGTCTTTCACCACATTTTCCCTAGAATTATTCCTTTCTGCTTCAGTGTCTTTTCAGTTCCCTCTGCTGCTTCATTGTTTGGTTGTTCTTGTTCCATTAATAATAAAGCGTGAGTTCATGAGGGCAGAGACTGTGCCCTGGTGCTCACCACCAGCTCCCTGGGTGCCTCTGTGGGTGCTCGGTAAGCAGGGATCTGATGTGTGTGTGGAGTGCTGAGAAGAGAGCGGGTCTCACCAGGTGTTTGCTGGGTGCCCTGCATTATGCTGAGCAGTCGCATGTGTTTCTCTTACCATGACAACAGCCCGACTGGATAAATGTCAGCTCTCTTTCATAAAGGAGGAACACAAATGCTAAGATTAAAGAACGGGGGTGTTGGGATGGGAGCTGCACTGCAGCTCGCCTTCTAAAGCTCCTGGGTCAGGGATGGGCCTGTCTGCCGCCTGTGCTATGAGGAGCACCTGCTGAGATCTGGGCAAGAGGCCGTTGTGATGAGTGTGTAGGCTGTGGGACCCTCCTGCGTGACCCCGCTGGGTTCTGAAGCTTAAAGACCACCAGGAGGCTGGGCGTGGCGTGGCAGGAGTGATGTGCAGGGCAATCAGGAAGCTCTCTGTTTGATGTGTGGGCTAAGGCAGCTTACTTTTTCCCTGTAGGTGAATAAGCCTTACGGGAAAGTCCAGATCTATACAGCTGATATTTCCGAAATCCCGAAGTGCAACTGTAAGCCCACAGATGAGAATCCCTGTGGCTTTGATTCGGAGTGTTTGAACAGGATGCTGATGTTTGAGTGCCACCCGCAGGTGTGTCCTGCAGGAGAGTACTGCCAGAACCAGTGTTTCACCAAGCGCCAGTACCCTGAGACCAAGATCATCAAGACAGACGGCAAAGGATGGGGCCTGGTCGCCAAGAGGGACATTAGAAAGGTGTGTACCATGCCCCTGTCTCCCCGGCTTTTAAGAAATTATGGTTCAGCTGGTTACTTAGATGTAGATTTGCTTATTGTGCTGTTGTACTCATGTAAGAATGGTATTTAAAATTTTTTTTTGACTTACTACAATTGAATATTGTAAAATGTTACAAGAAAGATACCCATCAAAGTAAAATTCATAAATTCCCTTAAAACATGCCTTAGTCAGAATTGCGATGGTTGTTCTTATGAAGTGAAAGATCTGTGAACTAACCACTTTTCAGAGATGAGCAGCCAGGATGCTCAGGAGGGATCACTGAGCAGATGTGAAGAGGCAGCTCTTGTTAGAGACAGATCCAGGACAGAGCAGGACCAAGTTGCTGGTAAATGCCGGAGACCACGCACAGTCTGCCTCCATTCTCAGACTGAATTACCATGTGCATCCAGTGCGGAAAGAGACAAATGGAATTGCTTATCTTATCGCAGCTCTGCCACGCTTGGGCGTGGCCTAGGGGTGGGCGGCCTCAGACCCCAGGTCTCTTCTAGGGCTGATCCCCAGCAGCAGCGAAAAGGCTGCTTTGAAACATGCAAAACCTCAGCAGCTTCATTCCCCCACCTGCCTTGATTGCTGATTCATCTAGACTCTTGCAGTGTAGCCTGTCAAATTCTTTCTAAACTTTTTCTGTACTAGGGAAATAGACCTATAATGGGGAGTGATGTGGAAGCTTGTAGGGTGTCATTACAGTGTCTCCAGAGACAAGATATTGTAGGAAGCAAGGGTTAGAATGTTGTTACTTAGATAATTTCTTCATCGACAACCTTCAGAAAATATGTAGAAAGTCATTTGAATTTACTTTACCTTATAGGGACTTTGCAAGACCCTGCTCCTGATGGTATCACAATGTGCATGGTGCCCTGCTCTGGTTGTTCCTGGTGTGGACTCTTGAGCTCTGGTACTGAGAATTGGCCAGTCTGTTCTTTATTATCATCACACTCTTCTGATTTCTAGGGAGAATTTGTGAATGAGTATGTTGGTGAGCTGATAGACGAAGAGGAGTGTATGGCAAGAATCAAATATGCACATGAGAACGACATCACTCACTTTTACATGCTCACTATAGACAAGGTAATGCTAACTATATTTTCATTGCTAATCTTTGCAGTGTCCTGAACCTGGTACCCTGATGGTTTATCTGTAGCACTGGGCCTTGCATTGTGGTGATATTGTCATTTCATCTATGTAGTTGCTTTGTTTCAAACATCTGCACGTTTTCTTCTGAAGTGCACAGTATCTTGAAGTGTGTGAAGGCCAGAGCTGATAGCCTCTCAGTGTGAGAGCATCCTGGGAGCTTTATGGGTCCCACTGATGCATGAAGGATATACTAAACAGTCATACTAACAGTCAAGGAAAAGAAGAGAAAAGCACAAATTAGGAGAATTATACATATTTTCAGTTACATAGTGGAGTTTTTTTGGTTGTTCATTGCTTGTCTGAAGCCCAGATTTATAAACACTTTGGAACATAAGTCTCCTACGGGAGATCATTCTTCTCAGAAGAAGGACAGATAAGACGATTTGTTTACGAGTGGGGATGGATAAAAGAAGGTGTATCTGGGACGCTGTCAGGTCCATGACTGATGCCTGACAACGACAGGCCCTTTCTGGGGCGCTTCCTTTAGTTACCACAAGTACCCCAGGGCAGCAAATTTACACTTCCTCTGCCATCCGCTTTCCTTTTTTGGGGGGGTGGTGAGGGAGGTTATTTTATTAGAAATTGAAACCCCAGGCCGGTGCCTTACCATGTTTTGGCGTTTAAATTTAAACCACTTGTGTGTTGTAAAAAATGCCAAGTTGATCATTTAACACACAGATGGGTCCCTGAAATGGTAATTCACCTAGGGCACCTGGCTGAAGCAAAGATAAAGCCCATGACACATGAGAGATGCTTAAAACATGTATTTCCTATAAAAACAAAAAAATAAAAGAATAAGCCCTACCTAAATGTTTACAAAGCACAGTAGAACAAGATCTCCGTAAGCAGACCCTTCACACAGAAGGCTTAGCTTTTGGTGAGAACCTGAGATAATAAGACTGTCTGAAAGAAAATATTAAATAAGTGTGTTAGAAATGGTTAAAACCATAAGAGGAGATTTAGAGAAAAGAACAAGACATTGAGGGATAAATCACAGCTGATTTGAACAATTAAAATGGAGTTAACATATAGTCATTGAAATTAACCCAGTAGATGGGTTAAGAGATATTAGATAGCTAAGAGAAAATTGCTGAAGTAGAAGACTGCATCAAAGAAATTATCTAGATTGCAGCACAGAAAGATAAAAAGATGAAAACTCTGTAAAAGAGATTAAGAGACATGGAAGATAGAAATGTTAAGTAGATGTTCCAGAAGGAAAGACAGGAGAACTGGGGAAGAGGTAATGTGAAAAAAGAATTTTCTGGAATCTTGGTGACATGTATCATCTTACTGATGAAACTGACAAAGTTTTGAGCAGGAGAAATAAAAATAAATCTGTACCTAGATATGTTGTTAAAAAAAACCAAACCTGTAGGATAACGAAGACTACGAGGATTAAAAGCAACAGAGAGAAAAAAGTAGAGTACATTCCAGGGAACAACAGTTAGATGGTCAGACTTCTCAAAGTGTGGTAGAAGCCAGAAGACACTTCCATTTCCTAAGGGAAAATAACCCTTGACCTTGCATTCAGTGCCCTGCTAAACTAGCACTTCAGTTAAAGACTGAGAGAGCTGACCATCAACATAATTTGGCTAAAGGAAATAACAAAAGAGGTACTTTAGGAAGACGAAAATTGAACTTCAGAAGTTGAGGTGCAAAAAGGAATCGTGAACAAACAAGTTCACAGATATGTGGGTACATCGAAGTAAGTTTGGTTGTATAACATAATGAAGGATGATTGGCAGGAGGAGAGAGTATGGCCGTAAGGGAGTGTTAAGTGCTGATGGTCACAGAGGGTATCAGAAGTGGTGGGATGAAGCCAGTGGGAGCTGCTTGTTTTGTGTGGATAGAGGGGAAACAGTGTATTAACTTTATACTTTGTCAAGTATCCATGTTAAAACCACACAGGAAATTCCCAAGTGAGTAGAAATGGAAGTTGTAACTTCCACATAATTAGAGTGAAAAAAGACATAAAGAAAAGTTAGTCAATCCAGTAGAAGCCAGACAGCAAGGGTAGCTGAACTGGGAACTCGGAGAATTTGGGAATGAAATAAAAGGAAAAGACAAAACCATTTCTGAAGCAAAGCTTAAACCACAAGGAGCATGTAAGAGAACAGAAAGCAGAGGAGCAGACACGGGTAGAAATGAGGGCTGAACAAAGTGCAGTGGGAAGGAAGACTAGAGGGAAAAGCATAACACAGGGAGCAGGCCGAGGAGAGTTTCTATGCATGAGTATAAGCCAGAGACACACCAGACAGCAGGTGGGAGAACATGAGAGAACCAAAGGAAGAAATTGCTAAAGGCTGAATTTCAGATAGTCAGTGTAATTCCACTGAAGCTCCAGTACAAATAACAGACAGGGTTGAGGATGACGGAATGAAATACATACTCAAATTGTTATCCCTAACAGAAACAAAAATGGGGAGAGAATAGAGAGGAGGATAAATTCACCTCTGATATCTAACAGTCAGAGTTGATAAAACCCAGTAATAGTAATTTAAGCATATTTAAGAATAAAGGCAAGCATTAAGATAATTAAGCTACTGATTAAACTGGGGTTGTAAGGATGGGGGAGGTGAGGGAAGGAGGAATCAGCTAATTTTATTGTTGGCCAGAGTCGTGGGTCACTGGATACTGCTGCTTAATGAGGAGACTGAAGATGTTATATACAGGTGTAAATGCTAGGGTGTTCTTTTTTTTTTTTTTTTTTTTTTTTTTCGCTTTATCTCCCCAAACCACCCCCTGTACATAGTTGTATATCTTAGTTGCCGGTCCTTCTAGTTGTGGGATGTGGGACGCCACCTCAGTGTGGCGCACGAACTTAACCACTCAGCCATGGAGCCGGCCCCTAGGGTGTTCTATAAAGGACAAGCAGTAGGAAAAAAATTACAAGTTCCCAACAGGAAAATCAAGATTTAAAAAATCCCACTACTTCATAGTGAAAGGCTTAAAACCCATATAAACAAACAAAATAGACCCATATGTTAGAATTTGCCCAACATATCAGTCATATCTGTAAAAAGGGATTGGATTAACTCATCTATTAAAAGAAGAGATTTCCAGACTGGTTCATAAAGCACAGCCTAATCCTCTGTTGTATGTAAGGAACAAAGAGACTCTGAAAGGTTAAAATTGTGTGCAGACGTATGCCAGGTGAAGTTAAATTTTTAGAAAAATTTGGTTGTTTTCAGACAAGGTGGAATTCAGACCCCACCACATTCAGTGGGTACAAAGGAAGGAATTTATCATGCTAAAGCAGCCACCAGGGCCGAGATCCGTTCTGTGGAGTGTGCCCCAGATAACACCACAGCAGCTTTCCCAAAGCAGCAGTTAGGGGAGGCGCAGGGGAGAGACAAATGAGGACAGTGTACTGTGGATCTTCTCTTAGTAAGAGGCAGAGATCCTGGGCAGACTGTTGGCATGAATTAAGCACTGACTAAAAAGGAACAACAAAATTAATAAGGAATTAAAGACAAAGCAGAAATTTAGAAGTTAGAAAACAGAAACAGTAGGAAGTAATAAGTAAATCACTTTTTACAAACACAAAATGGCAGCATATATTTTTCAAAGACATACACATATTCAAAGGTAAATCCCAGGCCCAGTGCAATAGACTTTGGGTGCGAATGTGACAGGGAAGAAGGGAGTTGGGGTTGGGGCTCACAAGAGTGAGCATGATCAGCTGTGGGTGTACCTGAGGAGTATAAAAAGAAGTCGCTTGTGACCAAGTGGAGTTCATCCCAGGATTGCAAGGATGGTTTAACACACCAGTAATTAGTTAAAGGAGGAAAACTGAAAAATCATTTGAGAAAATTTGAAACTATTTTTGATGAAAATTCCTCACGAAATTAGGAATAGAAGGAAACTTCCTTAGTTTGATAAAGGCTGTCAGAAGTCGCCACAAACTTCATGCCTAAGATGAAAGAAACATTCGTGCTAGATTCAGAAACAAGACAGGGTGCTCTTGCTGCTGTTCCTCCTAATCCTGGAGGTGCTGGAGGGACAGTGAGGAGAAGAGCAGAGAGGAGGCACGTGAGAGGCAGCTAAGCTGAGTTACAACAACACAGGGAAGTCGAGTGCACAGGTTTCCTCTCTGCCCTCCTCCCACATATGCAAAACCACAAAAACAGTGAAAATGCATATGCATAAATGGAGCAAGTTTTTGTGGAAAAAACTTTTGATAGTTTTACTTCAGGACATATAGGATGATATGAATGGACGATAACACATACCAGTTTTTGGTGGGGAGATGAAGTAAAGACATAAATCTTCCCAAACATAAGTTCATTGTAATCTCAAAAATATTAACAATTTTTAAATAAACCTTGACAGGCAATTCCAAAGCCCATATAGAGTGATAAATCTGCAAGACTAGCTGCTGCTGTACCTTAAATGACTGTGAGGGGTGGACGTGTTCTGGGAGGCGTCAGGGCACTCTCTGTGGCAGTCCTGTGAAAATTGGCCCAAGCCGGGCAGCAGATGACAGGGCGTTGGGCGGGGACGGAGGCCAGGGCCACGTGTCTGCTGATGGCGCCTGCGTGCCTGGGGCAGCAGCGAAGTCTCTCCTTCACAGCAGGCACTGATGTCCCCCCATCTCTGCACTTTCCAAACAGATTCCAGATGAATTTAAGAGGTAGGGAAATAGGGGAGATGTCTTTTGTAATTTAGAGGCAGGGAAGGGCTGTGTTACGCTAAAACTCTGAATACATATAGCAACAGATTGATCAAATAGTTGCATAAAACTGAGAAAGTTTTGAGTGAAGAAAGGCATTATAAAGTTAAAACTCAACTGTTATCTTATGAGAAGGATTTTGACACAGTTAACCAGGGTCTAGTTTTCAGAGTATATATAGAGAATATCTGCAAATCGATAAAAAGATAAATAAAACAGAACAAAGACATAGCGGGCCATCCCTAGATGAAAAAATATACATGCCCAGCACAAAGGAAAGGATGCTGAGCCTCACTAATCATCCGGGAAGTGCAGATTAAAACACTTCGGGCCCGTCAGGATATTGAAGTTGTTGAGGGCTGCTGCTGTCCTCATTCCAGGGTGCGTTCTAGAGAAGTATTTGTGCGAATGTCAACATATGTACATGAGGGTGTTGATTGCAGCATTGTCACAGTAAAAAAGGGAAACAGCTTAAAACTTCACCCATAGCGGCGCAGATGAGCATCACTACGTCTATGTTAAGGAATATCATGCAGCTGCTAAGAGGAACAGAGTTAGGTTGTTTGACAACACTTAGTCTAGGGGAAAAGCACACTGCAGAGCAAGCATGTTCTGATCCCACTTCTCTTTTTAAAGGAACAACTGGCAGGGGTGTAGATTAAGTTGGGATGTGAGTGTGGGGAAGAGATGCGTCAGGGCCAGGCTGTCCTGGGGAGTTGTGTCACAGGGCAGGGTGCTGGCCCACATGGGCAGCACTCCTGGGGCCACGGGAGACCTATCTCCTGGGTGTCTGTGTTTCCATGTTGATTTACCCCTACTCACAGACCTCACTTTGTGCTAACTTGTGACTGTGATACTTGATGTGGCCTAATTTTAAGTACCCTCCTGCTCCCCCACATTTCTTACCTCGGTTGCTCCTATCACAGAGCAGGGACCCCTCCCGGTTGTGTGGCTAGTCTGGAGACTTAGGGTGAAGAAGCCTGAAGCTCTGCTCTGATCTGTCTGCCACTTCGCTGTGAATGGGTGATGGTGTCCTCTCTGGATTTTGCCATGTAAACACGCTTGTGTGGATGAGCACTTGCTTTTCAGTGGGTTGAGCCCCAGGAACTCGAGGGCAGGAGCACAGTGGGCTTCTATTTGTGATTTACATCGCTTTTGCCAGACTGCTGTCTCAAAGTTGCCCCTGCCAGCCAGGGGGCGGCCCGTCCCATCTTGGCCAACAGTCAGTGCCAGGATGTGAAGTCAGACTTCAGTGTCATTTGATTTGTGTTTCCTCAACTGCTTGGGAGTTTGGACTTCTTCACTTCTGCTTGTCTGTCTGGATTTGCTCTCTGGGAAAGTTTGTTTATGTCTTTCCCATTTTGTAGTTGAGTTAGTCTTGTTCTTGTCTCTTAGTGTGAGTTTTCTGTAGGCTCTTGGTGTTGACCTTCAGTATCTATTTCTTCTGGCTCCGTTGTCTGTCATCTGATGGACAGTGTTGGGGAGTGCCAGCTCACTGCCTGTGCTCACCAGGGCTCGGTCCTTTCCAGGTGGACCTGACCTGCCCTCCATGAGCGAGAGAAACAGTACTGGTTTGGGGGTCTCCTGTCCGAGTGGACACGGGAGACCATGGTTTTCAGTACAACATTAGTTGTCCAGCATATCTTATGATGGTGACAATTCCTTTTAAATAAGAGTGTCATGGCTAAGAACTGACCACATCTATACATGTACTTGAAACTTGAGTTGTACCTTACAGGACCGGATAATTGATGCTGGCCCCAAAGGAAACTATTCCCGATTTATGAATCATAGCTGCCAGCCCAACTGTGAGACCCTCAAGTGGACAGTGAACGGTGACACTCGCGTGGGCCTGTTTGCTGTCTGTGACATTCCTGCAGGTACAGTGCCTGGGGGCTCTGCAGAGGGGCTCCTGGCTGTGCCGGCAGGCAGAGTGGCCACTGCCTGATGCTGCGTGTGGCCAGACTGGAGAGGTTCTGGGGCGGGGGTGGTGATTTTGAAGTTTTGTTTTGAATGTCTATTTTATGAAGCAAAATTGAAAAGTCACGGTGTTCCAGTGTAGCTGTGGAAATAGCAGCATATTTTGTAGACCTAATCAGAGCTTCTTGACATTATTTAAAAGAAGGTCAGTGTTTCCAGTGTGGTGTCTCCTCTCACCCAGGGACGGAGCTGACTTTTAACTACAACCTTGATTGTTTGGGTAATGAAAAAACAGTCTGTCGGTGCGGAGCCTCCAACTGCAGCGGGTTCCTCGGGGATAGACCAAAGGTAAAGTCCTCGCTCCATGTGTTTCCTCACTGATGTCAGCGTTTCAGACGTCTGTAAACACATCCCTTTCGTGAAAAGTGGCTGCTTCCAAGTTGACTTGTTGCTGAGTGGGAGTGGGGACTCTGCAGGGTCGGGGTGAGGATGGCAGAGGAGGGTGCATGTGAGGCCCCGGGCAGCTCCAGCCTTTCTCTTAATGTGGGAGATCTGTTGTTCAAGTTCCTCTCTGTATCAGTGTGCCAGGGCTGCTCCGTGGAGCAAAGTGCCACAGACTGGGGACACAGACCTTTAGTCTCTTACAGTTGAGGAGACCAGAAATCCTGAATCAAAGTGCTGTCAGGGCTGTACTCCCTCTGAAGCCTCTTGGGGAGAATGTGTCCCATGACTCTCCTAGTTTCTGCTGGTTTCCAGTGATACTTGGCCTGCAGGTCCTCACTCCAGTCTCTGCCTTCATCTCCACGCGGTCTTCTCTGTGTGTCTGTGTCTCTTGTCCTCTTCTTATAAGGACACCAGTCATGGGATTAAGGGCACACACTACTCCATTGTGACCTTATCCTAACTTAATTACATTTGCAACAACCCTATTTCCAAATAAGGTCACATTCCAAGGTTCTGGGAAGGACATGGATTTGGGGGACACTGTTCCACCCAGTACACTTTCCCAAGCTCCCTGTGCTGTGTAAACCCTGGGCCTGGAAACACTGGCCAGTCACAGGCATCCAATCCTGGAGCTGGAATGTCCATGTCAGTGTCTGCTACTTCACCCTAGGGACTAATTTTGCTTCTCACATTTGTTCTCATTCATAGTGAAATTTTTAATAGAAAACCAAGGATGCACCACGTAGGGGGCAGGAGCCACTCCTTGGCCCTGTGTGTCGGATCAGCAGATCTGGGAGGCATGGCCCTGCTGGAGCCAAGAGGCATTATTGTAGGAGGCTTGTGCTTGTTTCGGGTTCAACTTTCCTACATCCAGTAAAAGAAGTGGAAGAATCTATTTGAGGAGCAGTCCTGTTGGCATGCATCTTTTTCCCTATTCACTGTAGAGAACTCCTCTATTCTTTTGATGTTAGAACATCTCCAAAGATTTCTAAAATTCCTGTATTGTAACTTTGGCTTTGATCTCTCTCTTTATAGTTTGCTTTTTATTATTGCCTTAGTCTATGTAATTCTTTTAAGTGAACTGTGTATTTAATTCTTAATTCTAGACCTCAACATCCCTTTCTTCAGAGGAGAAGGGCAAAAAGACCAAGAAAAAAACCCGGAGGCGTAGAACAAAAGGTGAAGGAAAGAAGAAGTCTGAGGATGAGTGCTTCCGCTGTGGCGACGGGGGCCAGCTGGTGCTGTGTGACCGCAAGTTCTGCACCAAGGCCTACCACCTGTCATGCCTGGGCCTGGGCAAGCGGCCCTTCGGTGGGTGAACAGGCTCCACTGTGGCCTTCTGGGGTTCTGAGGCTGCACCACGGGCTTTCCCTGTCCATTGCTCTCCCCACGGGGCCTTCCTCTCCTGCCCAGGCCGCACCCAGGCACAGAGTCCTTGGTAATTCAGGAAGTGCCCCAGCCCAGGGTGGCAGAGGCTTTCTTTGTTCAACTAGATCTGCACGTTGAGTAAAGATCTGCTGAGTGAATGACTAGGGAGTCTGCTCAGATCACCCAGAGGAGGGGCTCAGGCAGCAGCCCTTACAGGCCCAGCTGGAGAGGCAGCTCTGTAAGTTGGTGCCTGGTCAGTGCTGAAGCCTGAAATGAGCCAAGCCAGGGCTGGTGGCACAGGAGGAAGGAGGTGGCCCTGGGAGCAGAGCTCTCCTCAGAAGGGAAGGGTCTGTCGCCTTCCTGGCTGACCAGACCCAGGAAGGAGGAGTGCAGGGAGCCAGCCTGGACAGGTGGAGCTGCTCTCCTCAGAGATGGCACTTGTGTGTCAGGAGGAGCTGCTTGATGACACTGGAGCTGCACCCCTGCCTCTCCATTTGGAAGACAAGGGAGTGGTCTCTACCTTCTGCCACCACCACATTTCAGAGAGATGGGCATCAGTGTGAAAATATTAACTATAATCTCAGAAGAAAAATTGAGAGGCCCTTACCCAGACAAAAAACCCAAAAAGCTATAAAAAGAAAAGCCAAACATGTTTGACTAAAAAAACAAAACAAAAACATTTTGGCAAAAGATGACAAAGTTAACAAATATTAAGGTATTTGCAGCGAATATGATAGTTATCCCTAACCTAACAAAGAGCTTCTACAAATTAATGCCAGAAAGATCAATACGCCATGGAAAACTGGCTACAGCAGGCTACAAATAGGCAGGTCACAGAAGAGAAGCCAGAGCGATCAGTGGACGTGCACAGAACTTAGCCTTGTTCGGGGCAGAAGGCACAGCACGCGGCCCCACGGCCGCTCTGTGCTGGCAGGCGCCATAACCTGGGCTTCAGAGGTGGCTGGGCGGAGCCTGTTCACACAGTGGCGCTCTCCACCAGGCCCGCCCAGCCAGCCAGGCCTGAGCACCAATATTAACTTCTCTAGACGTTTTAAGAGTTGGATGGAAAGCAGTTTCTTGTTTAATTTGTATTCATCTGAGTAGACAGAGTTTTAAAATTTGTTTTCAACCATGAAAATGTTAAAAGTTGTGATTCCATCACTTCTGTCTGGTAATATTTTGTGTTTCTTTCCAGGGAAATGGGAATGTCCTTGGCATCATTGTGACGTGTGTGGCAAGCCTTCTACTTCATTTTGCCACTTTTGTCCCAATTCGTTTTGCAAGGAACACCAAGATGGGACAGCCTTCAGCTCTACCCAGGATGGGCGGTCATACTGCTGTGAGCATGACTTGGGGGCAGAGTCAGTTAGAAGTGCCAAGACTGAGAAACCCTTTCCAGAACCCATGAAGTCAAAGGGGAAGAGGAAGAAAAGGAGGTGTTGGCGGAGGGTCACCGAAGGCAAATAGCGCCAGGTGGTGGCTTGGCCAGATCCAGAGGCGACGTTGGGCGGCCAGCCCGCCTTGTGGGTAGAGGGCCGAGTGTGGGACTGGCCCAAAGGACCCAGCTCGAAGCCACCACAGACAGAGTATAGGCCTCCTAGGGAGGGAGCGTCTTCCCCACCACTGAGCCATCCTCAGCAGCGCCTGCTGCCTCTGCACTGACGACCTGTCTGAGCCACATGGTTCGGAAGGTTCCAGGACAAACAAGCCTTACTACACAGCATTACAGCTACACTTGAATTTCTAAGAATGTCAAGGTTCCCTCCCACTCTATTTTTTTAGGATAAAGTTATGATTGAAATTTAATTGGCATATGAAATGTTTTTATCTCACCCGAAATGTATAGAGTAGTATTTTTTCTAAAGGATCACTATTATCTCTTTAATCTTAACAACGTTACTCAGCCTGCTTACCTGTTGTCATCACTCAGGAGAGACCAGGGTGGGGCCTGGGCAAGGACTCAGACCCTGAATTCCTTGGAAACCATAATTTTGATCATTATTTTGCTCTTATGAAACAGCTGTATGATTTTTTTTATACTAATGTGAAATTTTTCCTCAAAATGCTTCTCTTCCATCCTAGTGAGAAGGCGGCCCTGGGCAGTGTGATAGTGATAGTGTTGTTGTAAGAGCTCCCCAGTAGGTTTTTTCTCCTTGTGGCTTTGAACTAAGTGCCGCTCTTGTGTGGGCCTTTAAAGGGTAGGGTCGTGTGGAGCAGCCTTTCCCAACGAGGCTTGGTCCGGCGCTTCTCACCTGGGCCTGTCTCCTGAACACACTAGGTTCTTACCAACATTTGGGGAAAGACTTTGTATATTTTTTTCCATTTGGCTTTCCTTTATCAGTTTCTGGCTTTATTCTCAATATATTTTTGCTAAACTTGTTTCACAAATTACCACCGACTGAAATGTGTATTTACTGATGCGACCCTGAGTTCTCACAGCAAAAGGAATGAACTCGGTAGGGGTGTGGCCCCTGTGGTTAGTTTGTTTCAAGTGGTAACTTAGGGACGTGGTTTTGAACGCTGTGTTCTGCCCTCCCTGTAGCAGCGCAGGCGACGCTCCAGCAGCAGGGCACTGCTAGGGGCTCCCCCTCGGGACCCAGCGCACGTGGGAAACAGCATTTCCAGAAAATGTTCTTTTCAGGGTCTGAGGAGAGACCCAGAGTTTAGAACTATTGCCATATGAAGTTATTGCCATTTCATCACACTTTGTGGGTCTGTTCATGGGAAACGTGACTTGTGCTGGTCAGATGTGCTCAGCACCCCCGAGAAGCACTTGTCCTGGGGCTTGAGGGGTGCCGGGCACCACTGCCTGACGGGCATGTGGGCATCTGGTCTTGTGACAGCCAGGCCGACCCATTCCCCTGTGAGATTTCCGTTAACTTTTAGTTATTAAAAGGCCCAGCCCATAAAGTGAGGAACTTCTGGGAAGTACTAAGTTCTCTGTGGAAGACTGGATCCTTCTTTCTTGGAGTTTCTCGAGCATCCTGAGAAAAGGGGAGCATCCTTCCAGGCACCCGTGTGCCCTCAGAGGGGCCTGCCCATCTCCACATGTGTGATAAGAGGGAAGGGAACACTCAGCAGCAGGTGCTTTTTTCTGGCTTTTTCTTCAAACAACCTAAGAACATCTATTCTGCAGAAAAGTTTACACAACTATTCTTGAAAACTGCTACTGAGGTCTTCTGTTCATTTCTATTGTTTTTGCCTTATAGAATTGCAGGAGGTACTTGGACCCAAGACCCCTGTTCACTACTTCTTGTGCTTTTGTGATACGAGCTCTTGGGGGCTGTGGTCTCTGCCAGGCTGTGACCTGGGGACGAATCTGCTTCAGGTGTGAGGCTCCCTGGGGCCTGAGGGGTCCACGTGTCCCCTGAGCACTGACGAGTAGGAGAGTTTTACTGACTGTGGCCGTCCCTTTGGCCCTTCTATCATGATTCTGGAAAACATAACCACACACAGGACCAAAGGAGAAACGAGAGCTCTGTCATCAGGTGGCTGTCCTTACACGTGGGGCTCAGCCATCCCTGGGAACGCACCTGCTGGTAAGACATGGGAAGTGTGGAGAATTTCAGTTTAGAACTCTGATTTCTATCAAACTGTCTTAAAGTACTGGATTGATTTATGCTCCTTACGCCCTAAACTTGAGAGGGTGTTCCAGTGACGGGACCGGGCTGTGTTCCCACACCTGTGTTTTGGGTCTGGGCCCAAGGGGCACCTGAGGCCAGGCACAGGCACAGCTGCTGTGGGTCTGGCCCTGCTCTGTAGAGTAAAGGGCCTGGGCACTGGCCGATGTTGTCACTTGTCCTTTCCTACCAGCTGAGGGACTTCTGCATAAGTCAGAACATCAGAATTGGTTTTGCAGTGCACTTTGGGGAGATTAACTTATTTTTGTATTGACAGTAGTAAAATCTAGTGATTTCTGAGTCACTTTGAGATTATTTCCAAATTATCTTATGATCTTTCTGAAGGAAATACTGGAAAAATTATTTTAAATATGGTTGCCCTCTTTCCCAAAACTGTTAAACTAATGAGCAAATAACACTAACTTTGAAATCTCTAGCAAACTAGTAATGAATCTGAGTACAACAAGGCTTTGGAGTAGCAGCCGACCTTGGAGGGCCTTCCTTCCCGTCGGGGCCGACAGGGTACATGGCCATCACTGCGGCCTTTACCTGGGGAATCTGAGAGCTGCTTTGGGAGGGATTTGGTCTTTCTGAACATCAGTTTCAGTCCTTTGTCACTAATGTGAAGCAGAAACAAAACAAAAACTGTCTGAACACCTCAGGATTCCTCGGCCTCGGGAACTGACCAGGATCTACACCTAATCTGTGCCCACACACGTGTGAAGCTGTCTCTGCCTGTGCCAGCAATGGCCTCTGGGAACGTGGGTGGCTCTCACGTTGTGCAGGTCACAGGGATGTGTCTAATTCAGCAGTTATAAAATGCGGCCACTGTAGGGAAACACGTCTGGCACCCACAGCAGTGGAAAGCACCAGTCTGTCCTGTCCTCCGAGGATCTGTGTGGACACCAGCCTTGCCCTCGTTTCTCGGGCCCCACACACACTCAGGTCTGCGCTTCTGACGCCTTCCAAGTATTTATCTTGACACATAAACCTTAATGTGTATAGTGCCCATCTTCCAGAACTACCTTATTTTCAGGAATTAAATATAAGCCTGGTATAATGAAAGTTAATGCAGATGACTGTCAGTTGCCAAATTCTTGATCCTATGAGAAGTGTAGTGTTTGATGAATGTTAGTCAATAGAGTAAAATGCTGTGTCTGTGGGCGTCATGGTGTCCACCGTACCCTGGTGAGATGTGAAATGCCCTGTCAGAAATTAAATATAAATTTAAATGTCCTTATTGGTGTCTGAGCTTCATACCATATGAGGTCAGGCTCCGTTTAGGAATATTGGGTGCTATCACCAGTTTTGACAGACTTAAAAACTTGAAATTCACTTCTAGGGGGAATATACTGAAATGTAGATTTGAGAACTGCCAGTTGGGAGATAATAGCATTTAAAGTGAGAAGTTGTGTTTGGAAAATTGTGTATGAATATTTTTGTATTAAAAAAATTTTAAAGGCTTTTTTCTTAAACTTATTTTATATGGGATTGCATTTTGAAGTTTTGGGCTTTTTTCCACTTTTCCAGTTACTTTGAATTGTCTGTCATTCTACAGCATCTGGCACAGTCCTCCGACGCCCCCTCACTCAGGGAAGGGCTCCTGTCCTCAGCTGTCATCCTGCTTTTGACTTGCTGGGAAGAGGCTAACGTGCCCATGGGAAGTATAACAAATATCGGAAACAGAAGTGTAGTTCTGATTTTGGAAAAATGCTTTTCTTTCTTTTAAAGATAATTTGGTTCCCACAGCCCCCTTGAAGGTGAAACGGGCTGGAGAGGGGAGCTGCTAACTCATCCAGCCCTGTAGCTGCTGAGCTCCTGGCCCTCAGTCTGCTCAAGAACCAGCCTTTGATGTGCCCCCTCTCCCCATCTGTCATTGGGAATGACCTTTGTGCTGACCCCACAGTGTCACCTGTCCTGAGAGAGGCTGGGGCCCTGGAGCAGAGAGGATGAGCTGGCCCAAAACACAGCTCTGGGGCTTTCTTTAGAAAAGCTAAACTTTAATTACTCAGGTAGTTTTTACAATGAAAACAGGTACCTGAAGACTGGTCTTAAATGCTCACAACTGTACAAAAGACAATACAAACCCTGCGGGCGACGAGTGGCCAGACATCTCCTGCTCCCAGGCCTTGGTGGACCGGCCCCACCCTGCTCTCAGCCTCGCTGGGTGCCACCTTTGGTCCCCGCAACCTCGTGGGGGTGGAGAGAGCGCTACACTAGCAAGGAAAAGCCCTCCCTCATGGTCAGTAGAATTTAGGAAAAAAATAAAAAAAGATAAAAGTCTAACAGGCAGAGCTGTCGCTAAAATTAGGCAGTTATAACTTTTTTGGTTAACTTTAACATTCAAAAATGGAATATTGAATCCAAAAAAGTGTCTTAAATCACACAAAAGGTAACCCATATTAAAATTTAAAAAGTAAGTCCAAAACACCCCAGAGAAATGAATCTAAAGCTTCGGCAGGCTGGGGCTCGGCAGCACGTCAAGGCCGGTCCCTCGGCAAAGCCAGCGGTGTTGTCCCGGAGCCTGAGTCAAGGCCAGCAGGGGGCGGCCTCTAGGACACGTTGGCCATGGGCTTGTACTTCTTGAAGCGCGTCCACTGGCCTGTGGCGTAGTTCATCTCGAAGACCGTGTCCACCAGCATGGTGGTGCTGCCCTGGCCATCTGACTTGGGCAGGTCCTCAGTGTGCTCACTGAGCTTGATCTGGATCACGTCGCCCTGCTCCTGGCACGGGTTCTCTGCAGACAGCAGGGGCTGCTGGGCAGGGTGCCTGGGGCCAAGGAGCCCAGCCCCCACCCCAATGGGGCCCACACCCCTCCACCCGACTAGGGCAGGCCATGTTGACCCACCTCGGGAGCCAGCCATGAAGCCCAGGATGAGGGCCTTCTCGGGCCGTGTGACTTTGTTGGCCGTCTTGAACATCTCCTGAGCGGCAAACATCTGCTCTCTCTGCAAGTGTGGAGAAGGGGTGTGGGTGCCTGGGCCCCGCCAGCCGCCCCCCTGCCACCTGGAGGCCCATGCCAGGCACAGCTGGCATCCCCACTGCAGGTGTTGGCCGGTGAGGCTGCAACATCTGCCTGGTGGCCTGTGGTCCCACCAAGGCGCACATACCGTGAGAGACAGGTTCTTCTTGGGCTGCTGCTGGGTAGGGGGCTGGGTCTGTGGAGCCACCATGGCCACTGGCGGCGTCTGGGCAGTGGGGGTGACGGCCGGGGGTGTGGTAGGCGTCAGCGGTGAGGAGGGTGCTGTGGGAGTGGGCGCGGGTGCAGCCGGGCTCAGGCTACTGTTGTACATGGGTGCCCTCTGTTTGAACTGCGCTGGCAGCGCAGGGCTCGGGGCACTGGGCTCCTCAGGTGGCCGGCTGGCCTGCAGGCTGGCTTCCCGGGAAGATGGGGCTGCAAGCAGAGTGAAGCCTGGTGAGGGTGCCAGTAGGGCTAGGGACCTCCACCCTCCCACCCCTCCCAGAGAAAGTGGACAGACTGCTCCAACTCCCCAGGCCCTGACTGCTGACCCCGTCCTGCCCTGGGGCCCACACAGCGCCTGAATTCCACGTGCTTGCCTTGAGACTGGCTCTGTGCATGCCGGCAAGAGGCCCTCTGGCCACAGCTGGGGCAGGAGCCATGGATAGCACCTCCAGCCAGGTGATGGGCACAAGCCCCCAAGAGTCCACCCTCTAGCCAGAGCTCTCAAGCCTTTCCAGACCAGCAGATAAGATTTCCAAGCTCTGGTCAGCTCCTGGCCTGGTAGGCCAGGTTCCCCACCCTGGGCACTGGTGAGAAGACCAGCAAGGCCGCCTGACCCCAAGGCCCACTCTGGCTGCCTTCCTCCACGGGGCCAGGTTCCTGGCAGGCAATCCTGAGCCCAAGGGAGCAAAAGCCTCAGAACGAAAACCACTACCTACCTTTTCTTCAGATACCTTCTTTCTGATATGCTGAGACTCTTAGGGGACCCTGAGGTGCTGTAACCTTGGCAACCCCCTCCTGCTCCCAAACGGGGACTCACTCCTGTTGGGCTGTACAAGGAGCAGCTGTCTGCTTCTCCCAAGGAAGGGCAAAGCAGGTGAAAACTTTGGGTTTATTTCTTGAAACTTGTGCTGGCCAGGAGGGTCTCCCAACCCCAGGCAGCACCAGCAGGACTGAAGGAGAAGGACGTAGGACAGATGTCCTGACACCTGAGGAAGCACCGTGTGAGCAAGTCCTGGGAAGATGCTGCTCCCTCCCTGGTGGGCACTGGGGAGGGCCTCAGGAAGGCTGACCGCGGCACAGGGTGCCTGTCCTGGCTGAGCTGAGGGCTCTGAGGCCCTGCTGCCCGCTCACCTGGTGGAGTCTCGGAGCTGGGGATGTAGGATGAGGCTGGGACCACGCTGGGCGTAGCGGGCAGGTAGCTCGTGGACGGCAGCGCGGGTTCATTGTTCAAAGACCCGAGTTTCTGGAAGACAGTTTATGGGGCCCTCCCAGAAAAGGCTCGGGTCTCAGTGCGTGTTTTCCCCAGACGCTGCACTGTGCTGGCTCCTCCGTGGGCCTGGGCGCCTCACCCGCAAGTGGACACGAACCTCTACCTCCATGGGAGGGCCCCCTCGACCCTAGAGCAGGACACTGGCAAGGGACTGGGCAAGGGGACATCTCCAGACCACAAGCCCTTGTGCTTGGCAGGAATGGAGCCCAGACCAGGCCCTTCCCTGTACTGCCCCGACCTGGAGCTGCCTCGGAGAGGAGGAGGGGGCTGGGCTGCTCCTGTTTGGTCAAGGAGCCTCCCAAACCAGCAAAGAAGAAAGTTCAACAATGTTTTTTCTTACCACAAAAGCACATGATAAAAGGAAGACATGCTCACTATAAGAAAATGAGAAAAAAAAAAACTATGCAATAGGAAGGAAGTAACCCATTACACAGAAATGACCAATGGTGACAAGGCCTTCTCCAGGCCCTGCCTGTGGACCTATCGCCACAAGCCGCACATGCACAGTCTGCGCAGATGAGACTCCAAGAAGTGAGCTGCGCTTGGCTGTCCAACCTCCTCCACGGCAGGCAGGACCGATCCCCACGGGCAGAGGTCTTGTGCGCAGTGAAGCAAACTGCCTCGAGGCGCCACGTCTGGCAACCCCAGCCCGCCAGTGCTCACCCTCCCCAGCCCACCCTCACGCCCGCAAGGCAAGCATCACCGCCTCCGCTGGACAGAGGGGAAACCAAGGTGCAGTGGAGAAGAGGCTCGCCAAGGAGCCCCTCGAGCAGCACATGTGGCACATGCGTGTTCCAAAGCGGGCTGCCAGGCCCATGTCAGGGGCTCTGGCTGGCACTGCCTCATGTACATGTCCACACACATACATACCTGTACAAATACATATGTATATATACACACACACAAATTCTCTGACAGGACACATTTTAGTGCTAACAATCAGAACAAGAGAGCACCCACTCTGGCTGCGTGAGGTGCTGGAGGGAGACACTGGCAGTCATGGGAGGTGCTGCGGCTGCACTGAAACCCTACCTGTGTGGACACCAGGCCGGCTGCGTAGTCTGGGGTGGCATTCTCAACGACTGTCTCTTCCTTGGCTGGCTTTTCCACCACTTCTGCATCTGTTGACAAAGCAGAGTCCTCGTCAGTGCCCACCTGGTTCAGAAGGTGCATGTGTCACCCACGCGGGCTCAGGACAGTCCTGAAACACTACACCAAGCGTGCACTTCAAACACGAGTCTCCAGGCGAAGAAAATGAGCCCTTAGGAAATGAGTTAGAGATGATCTTGTTGAGACGTGAAAGGCATCAGTAAGACAAGAAATGCAGGCTTCCAGGAGAAAAGGAAGAGGAACGGTCAGGAAGCGTGGCCCTTTCCCTGTGCCTGGCAGCCCTCGCTGAGCCTCCCAGCAGCACAGCGCCTCTCCCTCCGCAGACCCTGACAGGAAGCCCGATTACGCACCCAACGTCTTCCTCCTTCTCTTCGCCTCTCGGCCAGCACCGACCATATCCAGCTCAGAAATGTCAAGCAGCTGCCAAAACAGACAGAAACCCACCCTAAGTACAGTGTAAGGAACACCAAGGCCAGGCTTGTCGGGGCCATGACACCAGAGGGGACATGCCCACCTTCACTCCCCTCTCCTTCCGCAGAGGCGTCCTTGAAGGTGGTATGGGGGTCCGATTCCCGGCAGGGCTGAAGACACTGGGGGTGGTGGGACTTCTGAAGGGCGCCTGCTTTGGGATGCCTTTGAGTGGGGCTGCAGAGAAGACAGTCAGTGGTCAGTGGCGATGACCAGCAGGGATGGCCCAGGACAGGGCTGCCCCAGGGGAGGATGGTGGGGAACGGCTTGTCTCTCACCACTTGTATGTTCTACGCTTTTCCATCACGAGCAGAGGCTGTGCCGCCAGCGTGCTCTGGAGGAAGGAGACGCCTGCCTGCTTGCCTCACCCACTGGCACCCCTCAGCAGGCTGAGCCCCATTCCCATGGATTCCCTGCGTCTCTATGAGGGCAGGTGGGGGTGACGTCCCCAGGATGCCTGCAACTCCTGTCCTCGCCCTGGAGTGAGGGTCGGCCCTTCCCCTGCAGTGAAGCGCTCGGCGTCGAGCTGGCCTGCCCAGAAGAGTGAGGCTGTGGGAAGCAGTGATATCACAGCCAGCTTACGACATTTTTGCCAAAAACACTGAACCAAAACAAAGCATATCTGCAACCACCTGCCCTAACACAGAGTCTTTATCAGCACAGACAGCACTCAACCTCCACTTCTTTCTTGTGCCTCCTGGTGAATGGATTTGTTACTGGCTAGATGCCCACACACTCTGCAGCCAGAATCACCCTCCCCATCTCCCCAGACCTGGTCCCACATCTGTCAAGAAGTCACTCGACACTGGGGGACGGAAAGGGATCTGGCTCATTCCCCAGCCAGCAGGCACCTCCCCATTACTGGCACCAGGACCCGTCTCAGTGCTCAGCATGCAGACACAAGGGGCCACTCGCTCTCAGATCCCACACAATGACCCAGGCGCACTGCACAAGTGGCTCCTTCTCAGGATGGCCAACAGGACCAGGGCAGAGAAGCACCCACTACACTACACCGTCCAGAAGCTGGGTCAAGGACATGCTGACTGCCGCCCCTGTCCTCAGGGTGCCTCACTGGGGCTTGGAAAGGAAGGTGAGGGAAACTTTCTCAGGAGGATGAACATGCGGGGGCAGGCAAGGACAGAGAGGGGCCCATGTCAACCTGATGTGCTTCCAAGGCACTGGGGCAAAAGCCTGCCCTGAGGTGATGGGGCCAGGGGACTACCCCCACACAGTGACAAGTCAGCCAGCACCAAGAGGGCAGTTCCTACACGAAAACTTCAGGACCGTGGCTCAGCATGTGACAGACGGCAAGTGAACCGACAGGACTGGGCCCCAGAGGCTTTCTTTTTGCCTCCAATGGGCATGCACGTCTGCTTTGTTTTCATGTGACCTGCCTTCTCCACTGTGTGGCCAGCCCTCGGCCCTGGGGAGTGAGCAGTGCCAGGGCAGGGAGGGAAAGGGCGCCCCGGAGAACGGCTGTGCTGCCCTCTGGCCCTTTGAGTTGTTTGTCTAGTGCCTTCAGGAGGCGAGCTCCAGGACAACCCATTTTCTCATCATAAATATCTGTTCTGCTTATGTGCACACGGGGCTTTCTGTTCCCAACCCTGGAGCAAGGATGAAGGTGCAGGCCTAAGAACGTGGCTCTGGGCTGACTGGCTAAGTCAGTCTTGAAGCTCACGTGAGGAGCCGCACCCCCATCCACAGGCGGCATCACTTTTGCTCCCCACCACGGAGAAGCTCGGAGCACAACAGCAGCACCTGGGGCCAGCGCGGCCGAGTAGGACCTTGGGCACTAGGATGGGAGCAAGCGCAGCTGTGTGGCTGCCACACCCACCTACAGCTGCCACAGACAAGAGAGAAGCAAAAACTTGTATTTTCCTCAAATTCTGGTCTTCGTCATCTTAGCGTGTTCATGCATATCCTTCCAGGTCCTTCTGTGAGTGTAAAAGCTTCTGAAATTAACACTGAGCTCTCTCCTCGCATCACAAATGCTCACCAAGAGACCTGGAAGGCAGCTGTAGGGCCTGTTGCCGATGAGATGCCAACATTGCAATGACGTTGCTAACAAGAAAAAACAGTACCTTTTAGCTGAAACCTTCCTATCTGACAAGTAACAGACAGCTCTGACCCATAAGCAAGCCCGAAGCAGGAGGAATCCTGAGGCTCTCAAGCCTGCACACACAGCAGTACGCATGGGCCACAAGGGCAGGACGAGTGCAGCCTTACTTGTAGTGTCCATCTTCCGGAGCAGCCCCCGGCCCTTGGCGTGGAAGGGCACCCCTGCACTCCTCTTCAGCTGCTGGGCAGTCTCGGTGGCTGTAAGAAGGATGTGTGTGTCAGTCCTCATCAGAGTGACAATGCACCTTTCACTGCATGTGGATTATGCCTCAATCAATCTGAGTGACAAAGAAGTATGTTTTTTAGGTATTCACACACAAACACAGAGGTCTGTTTTTCTAAGTATTCACTGGTTCATTGAGAAGCCTACAGGAGCTGAAATGTTACAGCTACACTTTCTGTGTAGAAAACTACTTTCAAGTAAGTAGAGCTGTGGGGCTGTACTTCCCAGGAGACGACGGGCAAGCCCGGCACAGAAAGCAGCAGCAGGACTCCAGAGGGGTCTGAGAAGGGCTTACTCTCCCCATAGCCTGCTGGAGGGAGGCCTCGTAGGGGCCCCGTGTGAGGCCTAGAATCAGGCCATGGGGCCTCCCAGGCAGCCCAAGTGGAGTGTCCTCACCTATCGACATCAGGCACAGCCTAGCATTTCCCATCACAGATGCATAAACATGAGGAAGGAAACGAGATTTTCCTGACACGGCTTAGAGAGGGACAGAGCCCTCATGCCCAGCACCAGGTTCTGCCTCAGGAAGGCAGGTGCAACTGCTGACTGCATGGAGCGGACTGAGGAGCCGAGCAAAGACCACGAAAGGCTGCCCAGTGGGCCTGAGGTCTGGGCTGTGTCTGGCCAGCTCCGTGAAGCTACAGAGTAGTGCCAGCCCCAGGACGTTGCCCATTCTGAACCATGAGTCACGATGGCTACTGTGTTTTATTCATATTTTTTGAAAACAGGGCATTTATGTAGTAGTGCCCCTTATCCATGGTTTTGCCTTCTGCCATTTCAGTTACCCAAGATCAACTGTGGTCCAAAAATATTAAATGGGAAATTTCAGAAATAAACAATTCTAAGTTTTAAACTGCATGCCATTCTGAGTAGGGATGTGAATCATCCCTTTGTCCAGCGTATCCACACTGTACACGCTACTGGCCATGAGTCACTCAGGAGCCGTCTCGGTTATCAGATCGACTGTCACGCTATCACGGTGCTTGTGTTCAAGTAACTCATATTTTACCTAATAATGGCCCAAAGCGCAAGAGTCATGACGCTGGCAATTCAGATGTGCTGAAGAGAAGCTGCAGAGGGCTGCCTTTAAACACAGGACATGTGGGGTTTGGTACTATCTGGTTTTAAGCATCCACTGGGGGTCTTGGAACATATCCCCCCACAGATAAGGGGGGACTACAGCATGTTATTAACATCAATTCCATAGCCACTCAAAATACAACAGCTTACTCAAATCTGTTCGCTATTTTGGTTGAAGGAATCAATTTCCTTGCCTTTTTCCCAGCAAGTATCTACCATACACGTTTTATAAGCCTCTCTCTAGAAAACATTGATAAAATGACCAAACATCTTAAGGTCAAATTGAGATCATTTGCCATGAAAGAACAAGGTCAAGTCACAGGAGGAAGGACCCAGCCTTTCGAAAGCCTTTTGAGGCTGCCTGTCCCACCACGCGTGAGACTCAACACAGACTTCATTTTTTAACAAAGACTACAGACACTTTAACCTGGAAATTCTGAAGTTTCTAAAGCAGATTTTTAGAATGGACTGTTTAGGATAGCAATAAATAAATTTCTAAAAAAATAAACCCCACTATGTTCAACTCTGTCCTGAAAAGACAGTTTTAGGTACCATAAAATCTAAAAGAAATCTAAAAACAAAAACTACAGAAATAAGACGAAAGCATGATTTGCTCCACAGTCAGTTTTCCCAAATCTGCTGGACCTCCAAGGCAGAGGGCCCCTCAGCCAGGCGCGCCCACCCTCCAGACCTGCAGGAAGACGGCAGCCACTTACATTTCTGCAGGAGCTCTGCCCTCAGCGTGGCGCTCTTCGGCTTCCTTTTTAACTGAAAATGTTTTACTGGGGGAGTGAGGGGTCCGGCGAGAGTCGTCAGAGCATTTTTATTCAAGTACTGGCACTCCAGCGGCAACATGGCCGACGCTTCGCACTCATTCACTGCTCAGAACCAACACAACACGTTAGGAGGTACATTTCCCTTACACAGGCACGATTTTCACAGCTAATAGGAAAAGACAACCGAAAATGCAGTTTCCTATTTACAGTTGTAGAGCTTCTGCTTCGTTTTCAAAACAGAAAACAAGTATCCACAAAAATGACTCCCCAGTTTCGGCTCTGCCATCACCGTCATCACCCAGCAATCAAGGCCATCACTGTGGGCTGAGGGTCCAGGACTAGCAGCCCATCCAGCTGCAGGGAGCCAGCAGAATGCCCAGGGAGCTTTTTAAAGGCACAGCACCTGGGCCCTACTGAGAACTGCTGGGCGCAAGGGCGTGAGGGAGGAGGGTCAGGAATGTCTCAGCTTGAAAGTTGTAAGCCTTAGGCACCACAGACACACGTCAGTACAGCTATTATATGCATTTCCAGAGCATCAGAAGGTTTTGCCAAAATATGCCTTAAGCAGCAGGAAGAGAAAAAAAGGTCTGTGGCCAGCAAGTCTTCCCTCCTCCAGTCCCCATGGTCCCGGTCAGTGGCCTCTCCTGCACCCTGCCGAATCCTGGCCCTCAGAGGCGCCCAGGCACGCTTCCTAGGCCTGTCTGTCCATCCAGCAGTTAGGGCTCAAGAGAAAACGCTGGGGCAAGCAGCTCCTGCTGCCTCGAACAGTTGATGAGCTAACCTGGAGGGAAAGCACAGCTGAACCCACCCCTGCTCCTCCTGCCCGCCCCGTGCCACCCCCTCTGGGGGAGGCGAAGAAGCCAATCTGGAGCGGAAGACAGAGCAGGCCTTTCCCGCCACCCAAGAAACGTCAGCCAGGTGGGCGCGGACCTCTTCTGGATCCCCATCAAGCTAACCACCAGGACAGAGACATCTTGGGTTTGCTTCCCAACGCTCTGAAGTACCTATTCGTGCATGTGCAGTTACAAATCAACTGAAAACCTACAGAGTAAGAGTGAGTGGTCACCTCGTAGGTAAGAAGAGGGTCGGGAGTGACTCGAGGGGACTGTCAGGCCACCAACCCTGCCAGGAGCATAGGGGCACAAGTTCCATCTTCAAGGGGCTGCCAGTTCCAATTCTCCTGACCAGGAGAGGAGCAGACCTCCTCATCTCACTGTGTGCTTTCAGCCCATTCGCAAACAGTTTTCAGTTCATGTTTGAACAGCTGAACTGCTGATATTTTCAACGCATGTTTCCAGCATCTGCTTTGCCGGGAATGTTCTAGGCTCTGGACACACACCCTGCGTAGGCAGAGCCATGTCCTCACGGAGCTGAGCAGGGAGATGTGTGAGCGTGAAAACAAGAAGTAATTTCAGACAAAGCAAGTGCAGTGAGGAGGGGGCCTATGGGCTGCTGTAGGCTTTTCCTTCAAAGATTGACAAAAAGCCAGATGGCAGCATATGGGGTGGGGGGTGTATACAGGTAACATTTTAGGAACCACAGTACACAAAGTGACACAGTCAAATTCATTTTAGAAAACATGTTTTCAGGAAGACCCAGTTCCCTCCTCTGAGCATAAACCAAACACGTATATGACGTACCCTTTTCTCTAAGTTCTCCTAAAATATCTTGAACGTTGGGATTCTGCTCTTCAAGATCCAGATTAAGAGAACCGGTATCAGGAAAGGACTTCAGAATGTCAGCTACCATGAGAACCCAGGGGTCCGAGTCCAGAGTGGCCAGCTGGATGATCTCTGTCAGGGCGCCCTTCATCTGCCGAGAAAGGAGAGATGATCATCTTGAGCAGGATGCCAACAGCCCGCTGGGCAGTCACATGGCTACCCCCAACCCCAACCTGCCTGTCCTGGGAACCCATCGCCCGCTCCTCTGAGCAGCACTGCCACCTTGCATGTGAATGTAGGACTGGAGCTGAACAGAAGGGAGCATCTGTGCACTTGTGCTTTCAAACACAGAGAGGAGCCCAAAGCAGCGTCCAACCTCTACAGCAACTGTCCCCATGCCCGGCCCCACCCTCATGGAAACCTGTAGGCTCCCTTCTTCTGCGCCCCCTACCCCAGGACCATCCCGCTTCCCTGGGCTGCCACCAGGCTCCCCCAGGCCATGATGGTTGCAATGCCCACTCGCATCTAGTGCCCCCACCTCAGCCTGTTGCCTGCCCTCCCCTGGGGCGGCCGCACCTCCCTGCAGTGCCCCAGACAGTTCCTGGCAGCAGTTAGTCTCCTGCTGTACCGATAGAACAGGAAACAGGAAGGCCATCCAGGACGAGCTGGCACATTCCAGTCCCTGCTTCCTTTGAGTGCATGTTGCTAAGGGTGTAAGCCAGGCCGCCACTGTCCCCCGTTGAGGAAACCTGCTGATGGAAGCGTCCTGCACAGTGACAGGGGAACACCAAGGCAGGTGGGTGACCTTGACATGCTCAGCAGCACAAAAGGCTGGGGTGTCGGCCACGTTTGCTGCTCAGGAAAGGGCATGTGCCTGGGCAGGCAGAGAAGGTGACCTGCCAGCCCTGCATTTGCGGAGACCTCCCACAGCACAGAGGATTGCCCGCAGGGGGCTGGAGTCAGCAGGCACTGGGATTCGGGATGGAAGGCAACCAGGAGAACAGGAGCCTCCTGGAGACCCTCAACAGGAGGAGCTGGGGTCCTGCATTCCCCACGGCTGGGCGACAGGCTTACGTTATCCTCTCTGGATGGCACAAGAAAGAGAAGAACCTGCAGCAGACTGGCCCGCCAGAGGACTAGGGTGACGAGGGGCCCCCACCTGTGCCTCTTCAATGCCTGGGAGGCTGAGTTCTCCACCCCGTGCTATTCTGCCCACCCTAGAGCCCCGCCTCCCAGGGATTGCTGTGGCCAGCGGTGTACCCTCCACGCCTAGGCACTGAAAGCCAGCAGGTGTCTGCCCCACTCCTGTTTGCCACATTTCCCCTGACAGGTGCAAATGGTGTGGAGCAGAGCAGGCGGTCACCAACCCACAAGGGGCGCGGGGTGCAAGAGGGTGGTCACTCCTTGTTTAAGCCTGTGTGCTACTGTGGTGTCCAAACCATGAGACGCCCAGGCCAGAACCCGAACACAGTCCTCCTTCCCCCTCCTCCCCTGCCCAATCCCTGTCCTCAGAAGACCTGCAGCCATCCACCTGCCACCTCCAAACCCCGACTGCCATCAGCTCGCACCCAGCCTCCACTTTCACCTTTGTCAGATCCATTCTCCTCACTGCGGTGCTGCGGATCTTTCAAAAATACAAACTGGATCCCTTTCATGCTTAGGCTTAAATCTCACTATGCCCTCAGGAAACAGGGCAACCTACCTCAAGAGGTCACAGACGTGGGGTGTGCCTGCAGCCTCACCCCCATCACGCAGTCTTTCAGGAATGGCCAGGCGGTAGGGGTCCAGTGTCCCTGCCCAAATAGAACTCCTTTCCATTCCTCAGACACACAGTCCCTCACTCCTGGGCCCACAGGGGCATACCTGCCATCCTCACCAGCACCACAGCCGTCCCCAACTCACCGTACCAAGGCCCAGTGCGTTTCCCACCCCTCCAAGGAGAGCACACGTGCCATCGAGGTTAAACCTTCAAGGTCCTGGTGTTTGTTACTCATACTGGGCACCTCTGGTTGGCCACATGCAGGGTCAGGTGACAGCGGACCTGATTCTAAAAGACCACCTCTTGACATACATGGAATTATGTTCTTTTGGTATGTGGCAAAAACGGCAAACATTTACTTAACATTTGTGGCGAGGGACTTTTCGTTGTTGTTATAGAATAATGGCCCTGTCTACCACTGTCCCTCCCTTTTATTTAGCTAAACTATAAGCTCTGTTCTACATTAAAAACAAAAAGGCGTGAAATGAAAAATTTAACAATTTTACCTGTCACTTACTACAATGAGCTAAGGATAAACACATGTCCCTGGCAAGCTAAAATTACTTTAAAAAAAAAAAAAAAAAGGCTCCTGTCTAAATCTGTTTCAGGCGGCTCTGTAAAGACAGCAGGTCCCACCCTCAGCAATCACTCGAAAGCATCAAGAACAGGAAGCAAAGACAGACTCTGAGTTTGAGTTTCCTGTCTGAGGAAACTCGGAATCTCCGTCTCCCAGATAACAACACAGGAGAGGAGAGGAGAGGCTGCAGACACAGAGTGGGCCACGAGGGCGGGCACCACCTCACGTGCCCGTGAAGACCAGAATCAAACAGATGGGCAATGACAAATGTTGGCAAAGGGGTAGAGCATCTGCAACCCTCCGACACTGCTGGGGGGGATGTAAAATGGTGCAGCCACTGGGGAAACGTTCTGTCGCTTCCTCAAAAAGATAAGCACAGAGTTACCACATGACCCAGCAACTCCTCTCCTGGGTATAGACCCAAAAGAACGGAAAACATTTGTCTACCTGAAACCTTGTACATGAATGGCTTTGTTCATAACAGCCAAAAAGTGAAAACCCCAAGTCTATCACCTGATGAATGCATGAATACAATGTGGTTTATCTATACAAGGGAACATTATGTGGCAATACAAAGACATACTGGCACATACTACGACATGGACTACCCCTGAAAACATTATGCTAAGTGAGAGAAGCCAGTCACAAAAGAGCACACAGTGTATGATTCTGTTTCCACGAAATATCCAGAATAGATAAATCCACAGATACAGAAAATGGAATAGTTGTTTCCAGGGGCTGGGGGAGGAGGGAAAGGAAAGTGACTGCTAATAGGGACAGGGTTTCCTTTTTTTTGAATTATTGCTTTTTTTAAAAAAGACTGGCACCTGAGCTAACAACTGTTGTCAATCTTCTTTTCCCCAAAGCCCCCTAGTACATAGTCGTATATTCTAGTTGTAGGTCCTTCTAGTTGTGCTATGTGGGACGCCGCCTCAGCGTGGCCTGATGAGCGGTGCTGGGTCCATGCCCAGGATCCAAACCGGCGAAACCCTAGGCCACCAAAGTGGAGTGCGTGGACTTAACCACTCAGCCATGGGGTCAGCCCCCAGGGTTTCCTTTTGAGATGATGAAAATGTTCTGATATTAGATAGTGGTGATAGCTGCACACAGTGAAAATGTACCAAAACCACTGAATTGTACACTTTAAAAGAATGAATCCTATGTGAATACCTCAATTTGAAAAACTGTATGAGGGAACAGACAGGTGGGAAGTACCTGAGAGGGCAGGGAGGCACGCTCAGCCAGAGTCTGCGGAAGTCTCCAAAGCTGGCCTCACACCCGGGGCTGCCTAGAACAAAGGGGCCCTGTCCGTGCCTAGAGGCAGGCGTGTCCCTGGCCCTGGTTGGGCACCATGTCCCCAGATGTCAGAAGTGCAAGTGCCCAAGAACCACAGCTGAGCCGTCTCTGGAGCAGGCAGCCTGGCAGCGGGCTGGCAGGGCAGGGACTGCAGCGGACAGTCCTGCTGAGCCAACCTGCGTCGGTGTAGACAAGGAAAGGCCTGTGTCCAAGGGACAGTCTCTGTCACGTGGAATAAAGCTCTGGCTCTCCCTGACACGAAGTTCTTGGAAAGAGCTGGGCTAGGAGGCATCTGCTTCAGTCAAGAGGAGTTAGAATCCTAAAGAAACTAGCAGAAGAGCAGCCAAAGAGTCAAACAAAAAGAAGAAAGGACAGCAAAAATGAATATTTACCAGATGAATGCTTCTACAGAACAAACGACACTTGTGACCAATTACAGTTTTAAGAATTTTTAAAAGTCTCTAAAATAAGGACATAAAGCAGAGAAATGAGTTCAAGACACAGCAAGACAACAGGAGGTGAAAAAAGCAACAGAAAAGACCATACCTAGAAATACACCTAAGATGTCATGAAATCTCTAAGAACATGTTACAATCATAAGGAGCCCTAAGAGGGCTTAAACAGATGACAAGTATGCTGCTCTCAACACTATAAAGACAGACATCCTCCCTCAGTCAGCCTCTAATTTTGGTGTGACCCTACTCAAATTCCAGAAAGATTTTCTCCACAGCATCTGACAATCTGATTCTAAACTTCCTACCAAAAAAATCAACAAAAATAAGAAAATTTAAAAAGACGAGAGAGATTAATCTTACCAGCTATTAAGATGTATTATAAATGCTGTATGACCAAATACGTTCTGTACCTCTCACTTTATTCCCAAATGTTGGCAAATGGATCTGATTTCAATTTGAAAAATAAGACCATAAAAGCACTAGAAGAAACCATAGAAGTCTTTCTTTTTGATGACTGCTAAGTGAGGCAAGCCTAAGTATGATTCTAAACCAAGGAGCCATAAAAGAATTTGTAAGTATTTTTTTACATGGAAAAACACACAGAAAACTCCAACCTCCATAAATGAAATCAAAAGAGAAATGACAAACTGAGAAAAAAATACTTGCAACTCCTATCACAGGCAATTAAAAAAAAGATACATGTATATAAAAGTACATATGCACACAGACATACAGAGGTTGATCCCATAAGTCAATAAGAGAAAGTTTGTCATTAGAAAAATGATTCAAAACTCTTAAAAATGCAAAGGATACTCAGCCTCATTCGACATAAGAGAAATGAAAAATTTAAAACTTGGATGAGACACACTTCCCACGTGTGAGACTGGCGGGGCAGAGCAGGGTGACTACTGTTGGCCGAGGACAAGTGGGACAGCGAAGCGCTCTGCAGTACATGCTCCTTAGTCCAACTGCCCAGAGCCAAGCTCTGAACCTGTCACTGCTTCCCGGGAAAGCGTGGGCACATTCCGCTCCGTCCCTGGGCCACGATCTCCCCCTCTGCACTAAGTTAAGAGCATCAGCTGGAACACTCATCTGCAGCCTCAGCACCAGGAGCAGCGTCTGGCAGGGGCGAACCCTCCCAAGCAGCAGGTGAGCGTACACTGACAACAGAAACTTAAATGGCCATTATCTCTACAACGTTTATTTTAGCAACATTCATCACCATTTATAACATATATGCTTTTTGGCTGGAGCAATTAGCACTTCTAAGAATAAATCCTCTTGCTATCTTGCACACCTGTGCAAAATGACACGTGCGCTGATAGAACTCACTGTAGCAAAAGACAGGAAACAGCTCCACACCTACCAACGGGAGACCAACTAGATAAAGGAGGTGCTGCAAAACAGGACACAGGACGAGGCTGCCACATACACAACGACAGGGAAGCACCACCTTGACAGGCTTGTGATTAACGCAAACTGCTAGTAACTCACCCATTCCAGACACTCAGAGCCTCCCAAAGAGCCAGGCAAGGTGGGGTGTTAGCGAGACACAGAAATCTCTAAATGAGCAAGACACAGGACTTGGCCTCAAAAAAAGCTCACAAAAAAATTCATTTATGTTTCACAAAAACGTACTGTTATAGGTTGAACTGTGCCCCTTCAAAAAGAAATGTGGGAGTCCCAACCCCCAGGACCTCAGAATATGACCTTATTTGGAGATAGGCCCTTTACAGAGGGGATCAAGTTAAAATGAGGTCATTCAGGTGGGTCCTGATCCCACGTGACTGGTGTTCTTAATAAAAAGGGGAATCTCCGACACAGAGACACTCACACATAGAGGGAAGACAGCCCAGTGACTGGAGTGACGCCTCTATAAGCCAAAGAACACCTGAGGCCACAAGAGAAAGGCACGGGCTTGACTTCTGGCCGCTCAGAGCTGTGAGGTGACACATTTCTGCTGTTCTAAGACATCCAGCTTGTGGTACTTTGTTACAACAGCCCTGGCAAATCAACCCAACTACCATGAGGCAAACTGGACAATATTTTACAAAAATATTAAAGAAAAAAAAGGCAGGGAGGTTAAAAACAAAAAAGACCGAATATTTGTGTGGCCCCCTCAAATTTATATGCTGAAACCCTAAATCCCAAAGTGATGATATTTGGAGGTGATTAGGTCATAACAGCGGGACCTTCATGAATGGGCTTAGTGTCCTTCTAAGAGGGACCCCAGACCTCTCTCTCTTCATGTGGGCACACAACAAGAAGCCTGCCTGCTGTCACAAGCCAGAAGAGGGCCTCACAAGACACTGGATCGGCCAGCTTTAGACTGGGACCTAGACTGGAACTTTGATCTTGGACTTCCCATCACCCAGAATTGTAAGAAAATAAACATCTGTTGTCTAAACCACCCACTTTATGGTATTTTGTTACGGCAGCCCAAGCAGACTAAGACACCCACCTTTAGATTAAATGAAATCGTCAACAAGAATCCTACCTTCAGCCAAGTTCTTGTGGGATGCCCTTGCTGTGTCTCTAGGGGGAGACAGATGTGTCAATGAGTAAGGGGGCTTCAGG